CTATTTTGCTTTCCACCACCTACTGTTTGGCAGCTGGGATAGCTGGTGGGTGGCATTTGCTGACTGAGAGAGGGTGTTGTAGAAGAGACCTGTGGGCCAAGAAGAGACCTGTGGGTGTGAGAGACAGATGCCTAGGCCTACAGTGCTGAGCACCGAGTCAAACCTTGTACGCTATACTGCATGTTTGCACCAACTTTTCCAACAGGCAAATCTACGTGGGAAGTAGCACATTTCCCTGACGGTTGGCGTGTGTCAGGTTCAGCACTCTTTGCTATAGGGAGAGACCTGTGGGTATGAATGATGAGAGCTTTTTTATATGATGTGGGGTGCTGACATCAGCCCTGTGTCACCTGAGCTATCCACCATGATGCATGACACACCGAGATGTCATGATTATTTCCAGTAACCTTGCTGAAAAGTGACAGTACAGTATGTGAGAATGTGATTTAAGCAAAACACTGCTGAATACCATTTGAGATTAGGTCACTGACATGTAAAGACAGTACAGAGCATTGTGTCATGGCATCTCATAACTATGACTTGTTGAAAATCAAGTGTATAAAGGTGAAAGGAATGTGATGTTGGGAAATTAAAAAAAAAAAAGCCAGAATCTTCACTGTTACCATTAAATAAAATAGATGTAAACATCAGAAACTGTCAGTTTCAGAAAGTTACAGCTAATGTTTATAAACACAAACACACACTGTGTAATATCAGACATGTGTCACTATGCTTCTGACTCTTTGTTCAGTTGACATGCATTTCATACACAGATATGCATTTCTGTTAACTCCCATTGTAACATAAGCATACTGTAACCATATGCTACTATAGAATTGCTGAGTGGACACAAACATGACACGAAAATTATGCCAAGCCAAGATGTGATTGTTGCATTTGCTTATCTAAATGCCAACACAGTTAGAGAGAGAGAGAGAGGGAGGGAGAGAAATAGTATTCACAATATCCTGAGCAGAACTTTACAGGAGAACTGCATAATGCATAATAAAATGGTTGTGTTCAAGCCACTGCTTCCAAAGAGCCAAACAGCAGCCCAGCCTGGAAATATATGTGCCAGTCATGTTGTCCCACTGAAGCAAGATCATGAGAGAACTGTGTGATCTGTTCATTAGGCTACTGTATCCGCATCATTAGCATGTTCTTAGTTCAAATACTTTGGTAGGAAGATCTAAAAAATGGACCTCATTCACAAAACTGATTTGTCAATATTTTCCTAAATGTGTTCATACTCTCCAAACAAATTTAGAAGACCCTCTGACCATATATGCAAACTAAGTTTAAGGGCTAGCTATCTCAGATAATTTACACACACCCTTAACTGAATACAATTGCTAGCACTGGAGAAACAGCATTGAGAACTTGGAGCCTCAGATTTTGTATTAAAAACTAATTGCATAATGGATCAGTGAAGATGTCGTATGTTGTTATCTGGTTATACACCGAGCTAAAGTGTCACCACATTAAATATTTGAAACCATGGAAAAATGAAATTTTTCCGGCTTCCTTGGTGGCCACTATTGTTTCAGTTTTTTTGTTGGAATTTCTCCAAGTAACTTATTTTATCCAGGCTAACACTGGATTCAAAGTACAATGATGTGGTATACAGTCATTATACCTTACCCTGTAAAGCTAATCTAAAGATTATGGGCGACCGTGGCTCAGGGGGTTGGGAAGTGCATCTGTAACCGGAAGGTTGCCGGTTTGTTCCCCGGGCTCTCTGTCCTGGTCGTTGTGTCCAAGACACTTCACCTACTGCCTACTGGTGTTGGCCAGAGGGGCCAATGGCGCGATATGGCAGCCTCGCTTCTGTCAGTCTGCCCCAGGGCAATACTCAATCATAAACCATCAGATTCTCCTGTGTCTTAATGATAGAGATATGATATTGACGAGTCTGTTAACATTTTTCCAGGCCTTCTTTCCTTTCTTTGAATAAGGTGGACTTTATTAATGTAGTAGTGCTGTTCCAGTCTTACCTACCAAAGTGCTTAAAGCATACACCTTTATTACTATATTACTCTACAGTGTTTTTCCTCTTGTGCACACTTACACTATTGATCTGTCGGGAGCAGCTGTGTTGTTTTCAGTTTGTATTGTGTTTAACTTCTTCAAATTTTTTCTCCATAGTATAGATTCATCTTCCACTTGTTGGCATTAGACTTTGTAGTAACTGGAATTGGTCAGATGCTGCTAAGGGCATGTCTTTCATGTGCACTTTCATGCAGGGGAAACCCTGGGTTAACATAAAGAGTTGATAACTAAGGGTAAGGGAATCCAGATAACAGAAACGTATGCTAGGTATTTTGAACTCCCTTTGTAATGCAGGGACCTACTTTCTTGCCTTTAGCGGTGTAGGCTTGCCTTTCACATTGTAACCAGTTTCTCCATTTCACCTGGAGGTTTGAGAAATGGGGCACTATGCCGATTGTGTGCAGATTTCACAAGCCTTTTAGTTCAGAATGCTAAAAACAAAATATTCTGGTGCACAGGGTTTTATGAATGTTTTATGATGGTAAACGTGCATATGCATTTGTTGTTTGTGCAGGGTAGGACCATTTTCACAAAAATATTAGTGAATGACCACCATTCTAGTCAGCCCTCTGGATTAATTCATAAATGAAGCAACAAGTTGCGAAACTTTGTAGATACATAGTAAACATAGTAAAACTATAATCTGAAGAGGGAAAGTTTTTGAAACCCTTATTTGCGGCAAAGTTTCAAACTTTCTAAGAACTTTTTAAAGAAGTTAAAGGTACACTATTTATTTATTTAGAATTTACCAAGACTACAAGGACACTGACCAAACAGAAATTCATGAAACCTGGCCAGAGTTGTAGCATGGGCAACATCAGAACTGACTGAAGTAAGTTGTAAAATTTTATACGATGTTCAAAATGTACTCTCTGGCTCCCCTTCTAGTTACTCTTGTTAGTATAAAATATAAAAAAGTAAACTATAAGTTTTAAAATGTATAAAAATCTCAGGCATAGAAAAGGAAAAAGGGCAAATACACATTGTAAGGCACGTTGATCAGGGGGCACAATAAGAAATAGCAATCAGCAGACTTGGGAAGCATTCTTGTGTAACTGCTTATATATGGGTCATTCTTGCTGTTTCCACATTATTACATGAGTGAAAATAATAATAATGTGTAATAATTATTGTGCAGTATATCTCAAAATTCAAAGGCAAATTTACAAATGTAGCCATCCATCCTTTGGGGCTGTATGTTTTTTGACTGTATTACTTTTCGTCCACTTCCTAGTTTACTTGTACAAGCAGGCAGATACTCCTAGGTTTAACGTGTGTTTTTTCTTTGTGATATATTGAAGATCTGTCAAAAGTATTTCTGTGTGTTTACCCAGCACTGCTAAATGTTCAAACTTCTCAAATGCAAAAAGATTACAGAGTTGGTCAGAAAAAGATTAAATATTTATTTTGCAGTCAAGTTACAGACCATTGTTTAAATGTTCTAATACAAAATCCAAAGTCCCTGATGCTCCTTCAGTTAATCTAACAGTTTCTCCTTGTTCACTCGTTCTTCCTTCAACTAAACAGGTAAATATGGCTCAGCATAGTAATGTGAGCAACAGTGCATGGCCCTGGAATTATGCCTGTCTGATGCTCACCCTTGAGACACAGTTGAACAGTTCAGTGCTGAACCAGAGTAGAGCAGCAAGAATGAATATGCACTTTGACTGGGTGAGTAGAAACCGTAACCCCCTTTGCCAGGCTGTCTGACAACCTCCTGCTGTTTAGTACTTGACTTGTGGCAGCTTACATTTCTTTTCTTTATGGATGATATGTTTTAGTGGCTCAAAAGCTAAGCTGCTCCTAAATGATAAGAGGAAAACTTTATTATATACTTGTTAAGCTTGGTCACTTAATTTACCAAATTATTATTTGGAGACTGACAAGGAATCTATTTGGAGGACAAACAAAAGTATGTATAGAGGTTATATAAATATAGAGGTTAGATAAAGATATAATTTATCTAACCTCTTTATTCTTCTTTGTTTGTTTCTTATGCCACAATCAAAGTGACAGTGATTTCCACTAAAGTGGTGTCAGAATGCAATTACTGACCTAGTAACAGAAGGACGCAGTATACAGAATTGGCGCCCTTCAGAAATACTTGTGGAACTGTCGTATGTAAAAGTAATTAAGTACTTGTTTATCCCCAGCTGAAATTTTTGAGAAGGGTACCAACAAGTGCCTTTTATACTCCCTCGTGCAACAGCTCCCTGAATTCAATAGGTGCAGAAATCCTCGGCTGCTGAGGGTTGAAGATATGCACATTACTTTGAAACTGATCAACAAAAGGATGTGATGGTAAAGTGCAGAGATCTTGCATGTGTTCTGCTTATAAGATCAGGGATTTGTGCTAATACCTGGGCAGTTTCAGGGTTTCTATTATTAACTGTCAGTTAAGTTACACTGGATCCCTGGTGATGTTGCAGAGAGCAAAACAAGCTGTATGACCAGTGTAACAAATTAAAATGAAAAGTAATTAGAAATGTGTAATACACTGTCTTTTTGAAAATAATGGCCCCAAGACTTGGGTAGGGCTGCATGCTTTAACTGTGGGAGCCAGCATGGCCAGTGGACTAACAACAGCAGGCCAATAATTTGCAGGTTGTACCTGCTGTTATCAACCTCTTTCACTGCAGATGACCAGCATCCTCTCTTTGATTTTGTTTCTACCATTTTACTGAGCATTTCAGAATTGTTGAATGAAAATCCAGTCCATAATTCAAGTGAACTTAAACTGTAAACATAAATTTCCTATTCTAGTCAAATGTATTTTGACACAAAAAGAGGCTATACATGAAGAACAGAACAATAAATTACAATGATCCCAAACTTTTCAGGAATATTATATACACGTGCACCTATGTTTTTACTGCATACATAGATCACAAAGTTGTGCTTTGACCTATAGCAACATCTTCATTACTTTCTTTGACATAAAGGCCTTAGAGGCCTTACAGTAAAGAGGAAGTTAAGTTACTGTAAAGCACTTCCCTGTATGGTCTGTCACAATGAAAAAGAAGCTCAGTGGAGCGAGAAGAAAGAGGAGCACATGGGATGTGAAAGGCAGGACTGGGGCTAAGTGTTGTGTAGAAACAGGCAGTGACCTCATGGGAAAGGTACACACCATCTTAGTTCATGAATTGGCTCCAGATGGGAACTGGCAAGTGGGAAAAGCGGAACAGAATTGTATTGACAAGCTATGCCTGGACAGGCCCTGAGCAAAGCCATTAGCCATGTTGCCGAGTCACCAGGGAAAGCTCCGTCGGTTTGAGATTTCACTTCACCTCAGTGTTGATGGGGACACTCTCCACCCGTCCGGTACAGCAGCCAAACACTTCGACAGAGCCTTTATCAAAATACTGATGAGAAAAGCATCACACAACTCACTTCATTTTTTCAGGCTCATTTTCTAATGAAATTACAAAAATCTTTTTTTACTTTTACTATGTTCTCACAGAGAAAGATGAGGGTAAATGACATAACTGGGTATTTATCAGAAGATTTCACCACTGTGGTTCTGTCAAGATGGTGCTTGTTTCTAAATACTAAATAGTGATTATTATGTACAATTATCTAGAATAGAATATTAGGATATTATGGAACACTCAAAATGATTTGCCTCATTGGATGCACAAAGAAATTAAAAGAAATAATAATCCCTTCATTTTCCTGCACTCATTCAATTCAGAATCACAAGGGAATATAACCTATCCCAGCTGTCATAGGACACGAGGCAGGGAATACCCTGGACAGGTCACTGATCAGTCGCTGATATAAAACATAAAGACAGACCATTCACACCTACACCCAAAATTTTACCTTTGGACTGTGGGAGGAAGCTGGAATACCTGCAATACCAAGCAGAAAGGATTCAGAAGCAGGACCTTCTGGCTGTGAGGAGGCAGAACTAACTACCATATGATGAGAAATAATAACTGTATGGTATAATGTAGCACATTCAACAAACTTGCCAGTGTGCTGATTCAATGAACGAATAAATAAATAAACAAATCTGCTTTCTGTCTAATTGTCATAAGACCTGCAAAGAGATGGGTTTCATCATTAGCTGAGGGCCGTGAGTAAGCAGTAGTTTTTATTCAGATCATTCAGATAATCTTTTTAGTCTTAAATTAGTAGGTAACACGGTAAAAAATGCAATGAGAAAAAGAAAGAAAGAAAAGAAAGAAAGAAAATAGGCAATTTTGAGAGTTTAACAAGATGTTACAGCCCATCTCTATGTTATAAAGTGAGCATCCAAGTGCAGGCCCCACTTTTTGACAGCAGTGACAGACATGATGTGGAGCTCACCCGGCAGTGCTGAGAGAGGCGTCTATTCTGATCAGTTCCACTTGGAGCAGGATATCTGGAGTGAACACTGTCAAAACCCTCTGTAGTCCTCTTCCCAGCTGAAGACAACCATGCCACAGCGCATCCGTATAGACAGGCCTCAATACCTCTGTCGCTGCAAGAGAAAATTTTGTGACTGTGTGAATGCATAAAAAAGTTAGAAGATGGTATTTTTCTTTAATGTGGGGCAAATATATTGGGGTAGACAAGCTTTAAGAATTTTTGATAAACCCCACCATATCAGCAAGCTAGATAGAATATTTTTTTCAGGAGTACTTTAAAAGGATTTGTAGCTTTTTAAATGGTACAGATTATGTCACATTGATGTAGTGGTATGTTTTTTTAAGGATTATGGATGATGTGATTATCTATGTTATTAATAACAAAAATTAAAACCAGAATCAAATTTTACAGTGCACTTGTTTTTGCCTTCCAATCCATCTTTGAACCTCTCTCTCACCTTATACAGTATGTATGTGAATGCATTCTTCCTCCTCTAACTTGTCTATCACCACCTACAGTATGTGTTGGCGTGCGCCTCTGTGTATGCATGTGTTCACTGTCTGACTCCATAAGCCAGTGGAGTCGAGGGAGTTGTCAGAAGGTGGTTGCCCTGGTTTCCTTAGCAAGAAAGATGAGCATCTCCTGCACAACCCCAGAACAAAGATGCAACCTGCCTGAATGCAGCAAATAAAAAATAACCATTAGGAAAAGCTCTGAAAAAAGGGAAACTCTCGTACAAGGCAAAACTAAGTAGATTGAGTCTGACCATACTGAGAACGATGAGCAGCTCTCTCATTATTTTAGTGTTATGCACCTTCACAGTAAATCTGGATTATGAATCCTCATCTGATGGGAAGCAGTAAATTGTGTCAGAGGATTAAAACTCTTCCGCACACTTGTCTCGGCTTCTTGGGAACAGTTTGTTTGCTGTACTTGTGTCTGAACTCCTCCACAAGCTGATGGATTTTGAAGATCCAGAACACAGCCTCCTTGGGCTGTGTTAAATGAATTAGGTAGGCCTGAGTAGCTACATTTTTAGCTTCGTGCACTAGATGCACATTATCCTGAGCTGTTGAAAGCCTAAATACCTGCTGGGCCTCTCTATAAACGTTCAGCTGCCATCAAGAGCCCACAGAGAGGTCGGAAAGAACGAGAGACTGCACAGGATAGAGAGAGTGTTCAGCAGAGAGTGGCTGATGACAGCAAAATCAATTAATTGAATGAGTGGACAACTCTTGCATGGATCGAGTTTCACTGCTTTGATAAAAACAAAGTGCACATTACGTTATAAAACGAGTAAAAAACGAGTTAAGCACCTGGAGGCTGAGCAAAGATACTGACTGTACTCATTGCTTCTCATCTCTTACAGCTACAGAGTCTCCCTGCGTTATGCTGCTGCTCACACAGACGCCGAGGCACCAGAAGACGCCTTTGCTTTCCCTCCCAGGAGAATAACATCCTCCATCAATATTTAAGTTTGTTTATGTTTAGCTGTTTCACTTTATTGACCATGCTCAGGGAACTTAATATTTTCCTTTCTTGTCTTTGTTTTCATATTGCAACAGCTCCAAGCCGCTAGGTTTGCATGTACTGTTTTGTCTAGGTTTCTTGTGTTAATTCAGTTTGTCCTAGAAAACACGATCAAAAACATGAAAAACTGTCCTGCTAAACCTTGAACTAAAGGCCTTATCATTTCTTTCTCTTTATGAATACCATCAGTGCTGTTTTAACTTGACTCTCTTCCATAAAAGTGTCAACATTACCTATATACAAACTGTTATCAGCAGTTTCATTCACCTCTTCTGTCCAGTGTTTTCCCCTGACAATATCTAGTTCAGTGCTCACTTATTTTAAGTCTAATGATCTATGACAGCCCAGGAACTCTTACAAAAGCCTCACTGGTTTGCTACCAGCTTTATTCATGATTAAGATTAGACAAGATAACCAGATCACAGGTGCACCGCATCAGTCTCTGCTACTGTCAATGGGATTACCTGTCCTCTGTAGCCCAAGCTGTACAGAGGGAGGGATAGAGGAAAGAAGCTGGGGAAATAGGTCAAGCACACAGATAAGGGCAGGTGTTCTTTTGAAGATGTGTCTACAGTCTCAGCGGGACCAAGTACCGCAAAACATTACAACTTCAATAAAAAAGAGGGAGCTCCTGTTAAACTCAGTGCAGGGGTACAAGAGGTTCTGTTCAATAAGTTTGATTAAATTCAGAAGTGCGTGTCTTAGCAGCGTAATTATTGGATTTAGAGGATATCCATTTCATTGCTGTAATGTTCAACACACTCTCTCTTTTTCTCAAACACGCAGATAGTAAGATTAAATGTGAAATAATACTTTTTTGTGTGGTTCACTGATTTCCTTGCCTACAAGTACCATTAAAAATATACAGGTCCTTAAAGCTTTATCAAGGGGAAATAAAGCTTTTGCTAATAGAGATCGTGCTTGTTACTCAAAATGATACTACACTGAAGCATAGGGAGTTTCAGTCAACAGTCACACGGAGATTTGAATAGCAAAAAGCTTTACATACACAATATTTAATACTAAAAAAGTAATTTTTTGATCAGATAACTCATTTGAATTAAAAGTTAATACAATACACACATTTCATTATTGCACGTAAATGCTAGGGACTACATTTTTTCTTCCTAAAATGGTTATAGTGTAATAAAAAGAGGGTCAAAGATCCTGTCAACAAATCATTCTAAATGTTGAAGCTTTATCCCCCCCGATGTTATCATTCTTCTGTGTAAGCGAACCATTCCCAATGAAATGTGGGATTTTATCTTAATATACAGAATTCCACTTTAACAAGATAAGTTCTCAGGTGCACCCAGAGGGATGATGTCATTGTGATGAAAGGCAAAGTGGTCATGTCTTTCATGTCGACAATCCCTCCATTAAATACCAGATGAAAGAGCAGCTAAAGAGAAAGGAGAGCTGGTCATGCTGGATGGAAAAGACAAAGCTGATGCTTAGAACAGTGTTTCAAGGACAGGTGGCATTGTGACTCTGCACTGACAATGAATCTGCCGACCCCTCTGTCATCTTGGGAAGTAGCTTTGACCTCGGTGACGGATTTTGCATTTGGCATCCTTTTGACTTTCCTCCAATGCCGACATGAAAAAGAATCCAGATACTTTGAAGTTAGGTGTCAAAACACAAGTCCTCACTTGCTATTGAATAAGTTATGACAGCACCTCTTGTGGACAAAATTTGATTCTTCAAGGTTTGTTTGGAAGAAGTTTAAAAACACATACTTGTAATGCTGCAAAAAGTAATGTGGCAACATATTTCATGGTATAAGGTTGTGGTTTATATGCTATAGCTGTAGTTAAAAGAAGATAAAATGTTTAACATCTAACAGTAAAACTTGTGAAATTATAAAATATAGTATAGTATACCAACCAAAGAAACAACTGATCTGCAAAAAATAAGTACATTTTCTATTTTTGTAGGACTTTTTTCTCCTTAAACTTAACTGTGTTGCTATTGTGTATATGTATATGTATGCTAATATCTTTTATATTGGACGTTTTTTATGAGTGGGGTTTGTCTGAAAACCCTTTTGTTTTATAAAGCAACTTTAACCTTCGGACATTAATTGTTTAAATTAATTATTGTGAGCAGGAGAAACAGATTGTTACATATTGTAATTATTTTACTCACACGCCTACCATTTTGCCTTCAGGAGAAATCAACTTCAACAAGATGCTGGTGACATGATGATACTCGCTTCCACCACCAGTGGGATACAGTGAAAGATTCGTCTGTAATTTGGTTTTCTATACAGGTACTCATTCATAAACATAGCAAGGGAGGGTGTGTTTTCCATCTGTTATATAAAAAAATAAAAAATTTACAAGACTCTGCATGTAGCTCATTATATGGATTTCAAACAAGCCATCATATCGGTTGTATAGCAGTTTAGCTTGCCAAGATTTAATTGTCTGTTACCCCAATGTCAGTTGATGCTGCTATTTGCTACAACCCCCTGTCTCCTCATCTCACCATAGCCATCCCACCCCCTCATTAAGTGAATCGTTTCTTAGGATGCTCTAATGGCTCCTAAATTGTTTATGGGGCAATTTAATTTGTGTGTTAGGAATCCTAATAAACACTCTTGGCACACAGACAAGTAATTATACGATTGGCTAAATAGATAATTGGATGGGCTTGAAGATAAATTAATGCTTCTGAGGAATGCTTTGAAATGCAGTAATTTTTGAAGAAATGCAAAGCAGCAAATTTACAGTATGCCATACTATGATAACTACTGATTTACGAGTCCATAAAACCAGGTGAAATTGCTTTTTTTCTTAGTAAATAAAGCGTGTTTTCAGATTTTGTAAAATATTGTTTGTCGCCATTATGTTTTCTCAGAAAAGAGCAAATATCGAACCACTTTGGGTTTGTGTTTACAATATAATCTAAGCTACCATTGTGTAGCTTCATCCAATAAGATGAACTCTCCCTGGAAATCTCACATATTGCTTTGTTTCACTGAGGAATACTAACCTCTGACAAAGATAAGAGTCTTTTGCTATTGAGGTCAAGCACAATATCAGTGGCAATATAGCATCAACAAGGCTACAATGTAGAATATATTGAATTAGTCCCTTATTCTTAATTTAGAACATTGATTCACAATATTTATTATTAAATTATATTGACCATATGCCCACAAGTGAGATGCATGAATGATTGCATTTGTAAAAGTGCAGCAACATATATGTACAGAGTGGTATGATGTAATGGTCTTATGTCGTGGTTTGAAGCTTGAACAACAGCTCTGACCATTTTTGCATATCAATGGTGACATGAGACTTCCGTGGGCTTTCCTGGAAGTTTTCATCAGCAGAGCATCAAACAGCCCGAGTTTGTGTCAAACTGAAATCTCTACGCGCCAGAGCTTGAATGATTTATGCATTTGTCATTTCTCATTTGTTGAAACAAGGTGTCAACTTTTTTGTTCCATTGCACCAGTCAAGCCCGCAAAGTCGAAGAGATAAGCATGGAGCAAATGTCCTTG